GTACAGACACCTCCACTGCAGTACAGACACACAGGGCTCAGTGTAGTAAAGAGATTCAGTTCCTCCAGCCTGTCAGTGTAAGACATGTTTTTAAGATTGTGATGCCACAGGTTGTGGCCACTGCTTCTGAGCGCAGAGCAGGCATACCCACAGTAGCTAACGTGCCCTCACGTTCTGGGGAATGTCACGTCACTCGTCCGGGCAGCTAGGTCACGGTTCCTAACATTTTATTTCCTCACGCTCACTCCGTGTGAGCTGCTCCACATCTCAGGCGCAGGCAGTCTCAGCACCTTCTGAGCCCTCAGCTTGCAGACTCTCTATGCCCAAGAATCTCTCACTCCTGACACATCTCCCTCAGTGCCACCTTATGAGACTTGGGAAGAGAGATATGGCGCTCACACATTTTCTCTCTCTCTCACTCCTTGGGCCTCTCGTGACCCCCTCCCAGGCCATCTCCCTCAAGGTCAACTCGCGGCGCTGTGTTCTCGGCTCAGCTCGGCTCGGCAAATCTCACTCCTCTGGTTCTTGCTCTCGCCAGCTCTTCCTTTCCGGGGAGTGACAGTGGGAGACCCTCTTTACTGCCCTCTTTACCTTACAGGCAGGCAACAACTGTTGCTTGTTAGATCCTATGGGAATGCCCACAGCTGTTGTTGTTCCGCTTTAAATTATACAGGAATAGCCACAGTTGCTGCTCGTAAGATCACAAAGGAACACAAGCTGTCGCTCATTAGATCGCTTGGGGAATGCCCACAAATTTTGCTTGTTAGATCAAGTAGGCCTATTAAAATACATGGGACCGCCCACAGCTGTTGTACATTAGATCACAAAGGAACACGTACAGCTGTTCCTCGTTAGATTGCATGGAAACGTCCACAGCTGTTCCTCGTTAGATCACACAGGAACGCCATAGTTGCTGCTCGTTAAATCACACAGGTAACGCCCACAGCAGTAGGCCTATTAAAATACATGGGACCGCCCACAGCTGTTGCTAATTAGATCACAAAGGAACACGTACAGCTGTTCCTCGTTAGATCACATGGAAACGTCCACAGCTGTTCCTCGTTAGATCACACAGGAACGACCACAGCTGTTGTTCATTAGATCACACAGGAACGCCCACAGAGGTTTCTCATTAGATCACAAAGGAACACGTACAGCTGTTCCACATTAGATCACATGGAAACGTCCACAACTGTTCCTCGTTAGATCACACAGGAACACCATAGTTGCTGCCCGTTAAATCACACGTGGAACACCCACAGCAGTAGGCCTATTAAAACACAGGGGAACACCCACAGCTGTTACTCATGAAATCACATGGGAATGCCCACAGCTGTTACTAGTTAAATTACACAGATTCGACAGCTGTGGTTACTTAGCAATGGGCCCTTCTATAACAAGAAGCTCCGCCCTTCAGTAGCCCCACCTCGTACG